AAATTGTGCAAACACGGTCCAACCAGCTAAATAAACCTTGAAGGAATGCACAGTAGATGCATATCAAACAGAAAAATGGTCACCGAAAAATTAAGAAATTTAATCTTCTGCTGAGGATTTACAGTCTGTTAGAGAAAACAATGATTTGGATCCGAGGAAGCAGTTTTATTTACTTACTCTTGTCAAACCACGTGAAAGGGCCTTGGCCGTCGACCACGATTCTCCAACCAACTATGTCTTCCTTAATCCCCTCAATTTGTTTTCAGTTATTATTCATCCTTTTTGATGCATGCTTCCAGTTCCCGACTCAATGTGTTCCTTGGTCTTACTCTTTTCTCCTTGCCCTCAGTCCTTTTTTGAACCTGGACAAGTTTTATAATGTTGATTCCTTGAAAAATGTTCAAAGGCGTTGCGGGAGACAAGGCGTCCGCAACTAAACTGTATGTACCAGAAATGTCTTGTATAGCTGAGGCTGTCGAGACTCTAGAGGAGAGAACTTGTCTGAAGACGTGCTTTAAGAGGAGTCGTGAGGTTTGTGGTCAGTGAAAAGAGTGAATTCCGACCTTCAACAGAGTGCTGAAAATGCCATGCAGCTCAAGACATGGCCACCAAAAATGCTACAACTCGATCCGTTGTCTAGTAACCGCCTCTAAAAAAGTGTCAAAGGTTGCCATGCGTAGTCAACCCATTATTGTAAGTCTCCTTCGATTGGCAGGTCGAATGCTTCCACTGAGATACTAATGCTCGCCTTGATGTGCGAGCAAAGATTCTCGTCTAACAAGTTCCTTAGCTGTGGAGAATGTTTTTATTCGCGGTATCGTCCAGATCTACAGATTTCGCAGTTCCACAAAGCTGACCCGTTGAGGGTCTCATGAGAGATGCGCAATTTGGTTTGAACCGTTAATCAAATCTTACTAGGCCGTTAAACGTATACAGTCGCTTGATTAGAATCGGTTCTGGTAAATCCGGAATGGCCGCCACTTTGCTTTTCAGAAGTTGGATGCCTTGAGGATCAATAGTGTATCCGAGAAAATTTGGGAAGTCGGTGTCGATTTGACATTTCTGAAGGAGGTGATTTTAATCTGCCAAACATTAAATGGGATTCGACTCCGATACCAGGTAGATATAACAAGCTGGTTGAAACACTAAAGTAAATTATGTTTCGGTGGTAATCCAAGAAGAAATAAACAAGTTATACGAATGGACTGTTTCGTGGAATTTGCCACTTAATATTGACAAAAGTGTATTTATTCACATTAGCCTTAACTTAAATCTGACTATACACAAACATACACTCAAATCTCTTAACACTGTTTATGACTTAGGTTTGAGATATCGAAACAGTTTGAGCTCTTCCGAGCACGTTGTATCTCAGGTATCCAAATCTAGTAAGGTCATCGGATTCGTAATGATAAACTTCAATAATATCGAATCGAGATTATCATTATTGTACAGAAAATGTACCTTGCCCATTTTAAAATACGATATTTGAGTTAACAGAAATTAACGATACTTCCTACTCTTCGGTATCCACCCCTTCATACGCTATGATATCATCCAAAAATCTAGGAAATGAGGAAAATATTCTAGTGATTCCAAGAACACACACAAACTGACGTCAGAAATGTTTCGTTATTTGCTACTCAACCATGTGGAACAGACCGCCGGTGAACCTACGTTGCAGTGAAACTACATCCCGGTTCAGAATTCTCCTTGATGATTTTCTTTCAGAAAGTGGATTGTGTCACCTATTGAATATCAATGTATTTAATAATGATTCATACAAACAAGGTACGCCATCTATCTAATTGATTGGAAGGCAAAGTGTAACCTTCGGAACTTTTCACAGCTATTTTTTATTCATCCTAATATTTGAAGTCTGCTTATGTTCGTATCTCTAATTATTACCGTTATTAATTTCAGTTTTGGTCCCTCGACACATAAGATATTCTTTTCATCTCTTCTTATCCTTCTAAACATATATTATTCCTAAGCATCCAAAGTCTATAGCTAAAAACAAATTATATCACGGTACACTAAAATAGAATAACTTCTCAGATTCATTTTATTATCACTGCATAAACACAACACATATAAATTTATATTTGATTATCCTTTGCAATTAATTGTGAATTTCACAACATCATTCTTAATTATGTTTGCACAAATGTTTATATTAACATCCGGTTTCACTATGTATACTATTAAATAAATCTACATGTATTTATCCGAGAGCAATGAAGGATTTTTTATCTTGTCTTATTTTATTTTTTTAAATTAGTAGTTTACTTCAGAGGTCGATATTCATTACACAATTACTATTATTATCATGGTTTAACCCTTTCACTAGGTGTTCATTTCTCTTCACTCTCTTTCTTTCCTTCCAAGTAAATATTTTTCTTAAGATTACGGAGGTTTTTCACCACACTTAGATTAACTTTTCAGACTCGTTTTATCTTCACTACGTATATATGACTCATACATATTGGTATTTGGTTATCCTTTTCACCTAATTGAGACTTTCATGGCATCACTCCAAACTATGACTGCACAAACACTTAGTCTAGCGTCATGTCTAACTGCAATAATAAGTTATTTTTCCTTCACTATTTTCTATTTTATTTTTGTTACTAATTTGGCGGTACATACATAGTCGTTTATCCTTGTTCTGTGTTCATAAACACGCCCATTAAACTATTTGCGTGTTTCACGTCTCCTTTATTTCTATTCCCTTATTTTCTTCCTTTCTTTCCTTAAACTCAATTCAATACTTCCCAATTACACAGAACCTGATTTATTATTGTCATTCTACTAGTATTACTCTCCTTTTCAAATATGGCAAATATAATGCTAACATTATTGAAACTTGTGTATTATTGCATTTTTGAAGAAACCCGAAATGGTTTCTTTCCAACATTTATGTACCCATAAGATGCTTTTGAATAATAATAATAATAATAATAATGCTTGCAGTAATGCCATGTTTTCACAGTCGCGCGAAAACAAGGTCCGGTTGCCAGATATGAGATTCTCTCTCCAGACTTAAGATCAGATAGTCATCAACATACACATGTACGAAGTTGAGACCTCGAAATACGACATCGATGAATCCCTGGGACGTTTGTGCGGCATTTATTAGGCTGAAAGGCATGAGCGAAGATACGTAAGATGTGATAATGTCGTCAGAAGTCATTGAAATTTGACTATATGCCTTAACACAGTCGACTTCCGAAAAACAGTAGTGCATTTCAAAGTGGCTGTCAAATCGTGGGTGTGACCAATAGTCCAACAGTGCCCAATAGTCTCCAAACCTATCATGTGCTTGACTTCGTTTTCCATCAACCCTAGATTTTCGTGAACTAGTTGGCGCGCTTTCGAGAATAAAGGTGGTCCTGTGATCGTGATGTAAGGTGTAACATTGCTGGTTACTCACGTTGGTTTTCCGCCGGGTTTGGAATATTTCGGACTACTTAGGGACTATTTGTTGCTGGTATGGATCGATCGTGTGCTTTACTGTGACTGAAGACAATCCGCAACCAGCAATGAAGTTACACCAACAGATAAATCAGTAATTCCGCCTACCAACCTCTATTTTCTCGTGTCGATGATTCGATTATCATGTTGTGGCACGTTTTTGTATCAATGATTGGGATAGAAAAATTTGCAACGATGATGAACTAGTGAGTGGATTTGCGTAAATCCACTCTAAGGTACATATACCACTTAAAATTTGTGGCGATCGGCTTCCGATTAGCCGTCTGTAATTTGAAAACCGCTTTGTATAGTCGGCCGTTAAAATGTGCTGAAAGAACGCGCACTTCTGTGTTAGTGTGGATGAAGTAGCGAACTTTCATAATCACATCAGCGGCGTATAACAGGCGACTATGTTTGCTGGCTACAGTTGCCGTCAACGCGTACCGACTGGAAAGTTTCCCGATGCGTTTAACATGTCGGATGGTCTGAAGTGCGGTAAAGTGCAGAGTTTTCTGCACTTTCAAGAAGATTTTCCGTACTGATTGTGGTACCAGAACCATTCAGGGTCATCTCTCTATCATGATCTGGAGATAAATCTTTTTTGTGACGAGCTTCATCGAGGAGTTTGGGAGCGTCTATGATTGCGATGAATATTAAGATAACTTCTCAAAGTATGTGGTCATTTTGAGAAGTTCGATGCTTCTTTTCAGGAGAACAAACCTCGGCACAGAGGGGGTCCTACTTGAGTTAAACGGGAATGGTGTGATCAACCAGCTGACGTCGAAGTTACACGTCGTGGCTAGCACATAACGTGGATTATCCTTTTTTCCTATCAAGGTACTATGGCTGTTTTAAAGTTCGTATAACACAAAGGACGTTATTGAAGAGATGTGTTGGTAAGAGTCGATACAAGGAAGAGAGGGTGACCACCGCCACATAGGTCAGATCATGGAGTGTGTTTAATTGATGCGCGTTGCTTTTCCTTGAACTTGACGAGGACCGGTGAACTGTTCGACATTCAGTGACCTAATTGCCGGATGATTTGGCTTGGGCCTAGTGACATTTCACTGGCCATACAATACATCCCAGCTACCCTCGTATATAAACATCAACTCAATTCTCGTTAGTGAATAACGGAACAAAATAAGTCAAATACGAGTATGGATTTTGAATACGAATATTTCATACGATCGTCCATCTAGACAGACCATCAGGAAAACGAAGTGGAAAGTCAAAGAGGAGAGAGAGAAAAGCGAAACGACTCAGGGTGAAGAAGGCGGGTGAGTCAATTAAATTTAATTAAACGTCACTCAGTATTTGTATTCAGCCAAAAAAATAAATTACAGGCACGTAATGAATAGCGCAATCAATCGACACACATACGATCATATCAAAACAGTCGTGGTTGGTGAGCCAATAAGTGGTAAGGTCGAAATGTGGCTTCAGAAGAGTCAATTGATTGGTCTGTTTACAGCTAGAATGGTTTATTTGTTCAACAGTGTAATTGTGAGTTGTTCTAAATGTGTCACGGTATGAGATGATCAAAAACCAAAGGTCGTGGTTTTTTTAAACGACAATTTTACAGTCGATAATGGTAATTACAAAAGTCATGGAAATTGATGAAGATAATGTGAATAATAACAAAACCCTCGCTAGCATCTTTTTATAATTTCTGTTTTTGGTAGGATATCATCTATGATAAGGTGTGTGCTACTTCTGTATCTGGTGAGTTCAGTTGATCTGGTCTATTTAAGAGCTCTTTGAGGTGTTCTACCCACCTGTTTCATTTCTCTTGACGCTTAGTGATTGGTATTCTTCATTCACTCATGATTGATTTCTCTAGTCTGCTGTATTTCACTGCAAACTGCTTGAATATGTCATATGGTCTCTTCATATTTCCTGATGTTCTACCTTAAGATACAACAGGATAATTATTCTTCTGAAGTTGCTTAGTTTTCCACATATTCACGCTCGCCAGCTCTAGTGCTCTTCGTCACTTATTTGTTTGCTTTTTTATATCGGGCCTGTACCATGACTTCCTCTGCGCTTGTTCGACTCGAAGAACAAAACACCTAAATCGGCTTTTGTTGACTGTCTTCCTTTTGTTTTTCCTCTCTTGAACCTTTCCAAGATTTTATGGAAACCGACTGTTTGTTCTGGTGCTTCTTGGGACCCAACACCTCATGGGGTATTGAAGTTTTAGTGGCCAGATATCCGACTACAGCAATATCGCATGATTGATTATTGTTGGAATAAACATCGCCAATCCTCGTATATAATTGTCGAATTAATCCTCATTAGTGAATAACGGAATTATGTAATCCAAGTACAAGAATGGGTTTTTGAATATGCATATTCCCAATCTCCCTACTTTGGGTAAATTTAGGGTTTTTCCCCAAAGTTTTGTGCCATTTACTCTAAACGGATAAAATTTCCCTCAAAATAAGGTGATTGGGTTTTGTACACTCATTGATTTAGACAGAATCACGAGGATCAAGCGAAGAGAGCAAAGAAAAACGACACATTGGAGGTGTATGAGCCGATTAAATTTAACCAGGCGTGAAGCGAGATTTATACTGTATAAAAAGTGCACACACAATTGCTCATATACGAAAACATTCGGAGCTGATAAGCGAATAATGTGACTCAAGGAGAATGGGTAAATTGACTTGTCCGGAAGTTAGAACAAGCAATGTGGGCTTAACATAGCAACTGATACTGCAAAATTATTGCTTCCACAATCCCTTCCCAGTTCTTCATAGTCAGCCAAACCTAACATAGGACCTGGCGCATTTCTACAGCGATTCCTGTTACTACATCCTATTAGCAGAGCAAGATGAAAATGCCAGGGCAAATCCTGAAGTGGGAGAGGTAGTAACAGTGTTAGTGATAATTAAAAAGACCAGACCTCGAAGATACTGAGATATAAAATCACTGAAATAGGAAGGAAAAAACTATGAATAAGTTAGAAGCGTAAGATCTGAGGTAGTACAAAGAGTACAAGCAACCGCGACATTACGATTGATTCCGAACAATGCCATTTAAAGTCCCTAACCATTGGTTACTATAATCACACGAACCCCAACCCGGTCGTCTGTTGTTCTCCACAGTGGTTTCTTCTAGTATGTTTTATGAGGCTTAGAACTTGCTTCTTAAACTCGTTATTCTTGTTAATATCTTGAGTTAGGTCCATATTAAGTCTTTACAGTGCTGCTTGTCCGATTGTCTAGTGCTTCTTTAGCTTAGCCACTAGGTGGTGATCTAAACCTGTGTCAGCTCCTCGGTTTTTTTTTATGCTTCCTTTGGGCCTTCTGAGTTGTTTATCGGTGCATATCTGATTGATCTGGTTTGTTGTAGTGTAGTTCAGTGAAACCCGTGTGGCTTCGTGTATACGTTTGTGAAGGGAAATGACAGCATTTATGAATATGCCAAATGTACACAGATCTGCCAGTTTCTCACTATTTTTGCTCCTTTCTCTCAGTTTGTGTCGCCTCATGATGTCCTAATACTTAGTGTTATCCATGCTAAACTTGGTGTCTTGGTCCCCCATCAGAGTAGATGTATTTTCCGGGGTATTTCTCTAGGATGGACTTCATCCTCCCATGAAATTGGTTTTTGCCGTTTCCATTCCTATCATCGGTGAATGCTTAGCAATGGATGATATTCGTTGTGATCCCTTCCTTTATTGTTTTGTGGGATACTTCGATGATCCTTGGGACTTGAGGTCCCCATCCTATAAGTGCTTTTCATGCTTGGTGGAACATCAGTGCAACTTCTTGTGTAGGTCGGGAAACTTTGTCTTCGTGTCTGTAACACGACCGCTCTCCTGAAGTTAGTCTTTTTCTGTTCAGATTGTGTTCAGTGGGTTACACATTTCTAGCACTGTTAGGTCGTATCTTCTCATTTTCGCTACCCCTCTGGTTTCCCACGTTTTCCAGACATTCAGTTTATTAATTATTACTCTAGTCGTCAAAATGGCTATCGGCTTCGTGACTACCGAAGAATATCATTTTTCACCACAAGGCATCATAACTGCTATGTATGAAGACCCTTCAACTCCTATAGGGTGGGAGTTTGAATGTTTTAAATGATTTTTTGTGATCAGCTTTTGTTCAAGCTAGGTCTGACTTAAGGGTTGAGGTTAGAAGTCCTACTCCCAACCTCCCTTTATCTAAGCTTGGAACTGTGAGTAACCCTAAAATGCTCCAGCTTGATTTACTCAGTTAGGTTGCTAACCCTTTATCAATCAAACACTCAGAATTTGGTTTCCTACAAAATTGGTGAGCTTGTCAGGATTGTTGTCAATTATCTGAATGAAATCCCAACCACACCCGCTTATTTCACAGTGTCGCTGAGCTACCTCTTTTCATAGATTAGGTGTATCATTTAGACTAAACCACTAATTTGAGTATTCAATCGCGTTAAAGATATTGTTCTATCGGAGAAGGATTATGTATAAGGTCTGTTAGGTCTAGTTGTAAACACTCAAACCATATGCCCTCTTTGTTAGCATATTATGTGAAGATCTAGGTTAATATATGCCCCAAGAGTAACAGATTTTCACTAGTCCTATTTAGATAAATTACTTAAGTCGTTTGGAAGTTAGTTGTAAAAATGTAATTTCTGTAAAGTTTAGTCCATATCGAAGACTGTGTATTATTGCTATATCTGCGACAATACATTACTGTCTCAAGTTCTCTAGCATAAAAGTGCATGTCATGACTTGTAAACAACAAGGCTTTGCAAGTGCAGCTGGTGTGTCCGACCTCGTGTTTTTATAAGTTCATATTCAGATTTTTGTCCCACAAAATTGAACAATATGAAGCATTACATTCCAGCAGCCAATCTAAGCTTCACTATAGATATCGACATTATTTTTGGTGATTAGATTAGTAAGTACTAACTCAGTAACTAGACTTTTCAATCTATCCTATGAAAAGCAAATAGCATTGGATCGCTGTTTAGCCATAGAAATGGGAGTGGTCTTATACTTACACCCCTTAAACGATGACTTAGTTTGTAATGTGGTTTACCACTTTGCTGCCTCTAAAAATAATTATCTCGCAGACTATCGGATAAGTTTAAAAATGATAAAGTAAACAGATTGGAATTCCAAATCACCTATTGTGCAATCAGTTATTGAAACCTCAGAAGTAATGATATCAGGTTCATCATTGACCTCCTCCAAAGCAAAAGTTAAAGTTAATCCCAGAATTAACCTGCATATTATTCTTAATCCTACAAAACAACTCATTGTAGGGCATTTCACTCAAGGTCTCTAACTATTGGTTTCTATCACCACAGCGACATCTCACAGTAAGCTCACACCTTGCTACACAACTCAGACTGATAGTCACATACTTCAGCAGCCAATGTTATATTTCACTCCTGCTACGTTGAGTCGTTTCAAACCTGATTTTTCAGCTAACTGCACGAAATTGTAAACATCGACATAATTTCCGTCTTTAAAGAGATGTGAAATCAAATCCTGATGTCTTGCTTTTTTTCCATTTCTGATATTTGTCGTAGCCGACCGTTGTTGTAATCTTGACGTGGTGGTCGGGTTCGCCTATAGTGATGAAGCGACCGAGCTATACTGGTTGGAAAGACCGTTCCTCTAGGTCCTACCATGTCAGACAGGTCGGTTGAAGAGCGGTAAGACTAAAAGCAACAAACCTAAGGTCCGAAGGCGAAGTCGTACTGCTGACTGTACAGAGGTGTGACAGCAGTAAGGTGTTTCCTTCAGACAACCAGCATGACAGCGATTCTGCCTTCCCACAAGGAGGGGTAGGGTTAGAAAAGATCGGCCCTAAAAATGCACACCTCGCCTTATCCCACGGATATCCGTCTCCGGTGGTAAGGTCTCAACAAGTACGGAGCTAACACAAAAATTACCCATAAAAAGGTCGTGTGTGACCGACCTCAAGCAGTTGTTCCTTGGGCACTGCGGTCACGCTCTCAGGTCATTAAGACCACCTCTAATCCAATTTTCTTTTCAGACGCCTAAAGAAGAACCCTTCCACGGTGTGGGCAACCGGGAAGTGAAAACCGCCCTCATACCTCTAACGGCACTCAAAACCACTGTATTTATCATTTGCCGTAGCCTTATAAACTTCAGTTGGAATTGAAAAGACAAAATCGCAACCAGATTGTTGTATCACAGGGATATAGATCTCAAGTGCATAGAAGTTGAATCGCTTTGGTTTGCCTTGCCAAACGTTTTGGTCTTCTGAGATGTCGAGTGCCGTCGGCATCGGTAATAGTCACACTGATCGTATCCAATCAGTCAGTAACAACTTAGAACTTCGTACGTATGTACATCAGTTCGAGTTGCCATACCACATTAGCGCAGAGATGCAGTTGTGGATTCAAATCCCGTAGTGGTAGAGGTAGTAAGAGTATAAGCAGTAATCGGAAAGATTAGGGTTTGGAGATGTTATTTAAAGAGTATAATCCAGTGAGATAAATTTGGGGAGAGAAAAAAAGAGACAAGGAGGAATCAGGAGATTAGAATTTGGGAGAACACAAAGAGTGTATGCACGTGCGCCATTGCAAACGATTTTGAGCCATGTCATTCAATGTTTCTAACCATCGGTTGCTATCATCTGATCGTATTACTCTTTGTGTCAGTCTGTTTGCCAAATATAGACGGTTATAGATTTATAACTATTCAATTCCCTGTCCATATCTTATGTTATTAGCCTCTGCTATTAATCGTTTCATAATCTCCTGGCCGTTCTTATTTCTGCGTGCTTTATCTCGGTTGTTCAGAACGAGTCTTCACATATGACGATCCGAATAATGCTGTTGAGATTCACTGGATTTGAATAACTTTCGACCTTATGATACTATATATAAGTTTTTACTGCCGAAAAAAATGTTCCTTAGTTGTAGTACCAATTTTTAATCAAATAAACCCTAAGCACTAACTGTTCTTAGTTCTCATTCAGATAAATCCGCGCCAGCAATGCGTTTTAGTAACCGAATACGAGTTCGTATAATTGGAATTGGACTACTGTTTTGGTGTGACGGTTGGTGATACTACCCAACCAATCAAACTGCAATAAACAAGGAGTTAAAATGTTCATTGCTTCCACTACCAAGTCACCGTTCCACAGCAGTAGGTGACTGAAGTCCAGACTCAGTTTAAAAAAGCAGGAATTTCTCACGTATTTTCTCTAATAATGGCTTGTGCTGATAAGGCTTATCTATATTTGTTGTTGTGTTGGTAACATATCACCCATAATGTTGAAACTAGTCATCAGAGGTGGTTGACTGGTTCGAACTACACAAAACGATCCCCATTATTAATTAATTAAACTTGGTAATTACAGCGTCCGACTTCAAACCACTTAGTCCCTATTATTTTTTATTCGACCCTACTTTCTTGACAGGTCCAATCTTCTGTGTAGTTTAATCTGTACCGTTTCTGATTATCTAGGAATTTGGAGCTATCCAACTTTCGTATTAAAAAACTAGCTACTCACAATGGCGATTCTTGATGGTTTATCTAAATGCATTACGGCCGTCTCATATACACTGATTTTGGTAAGTTTTTGTGAATTAGTTTCATTTTTTCGATTCAGGTCGCTTCGGTGATACTTATAACTGTTGGAGGGAGCATACTTGTAATTGCTGCGCGTTACAAACACGCTGTGACTGTAACAAACTTACAATTTCCTGGTTATATTGTGCTTGGCACAGGTTTATTGCTTCTGTGTGCTGGAGTGATTGGTTTCATAGCCTGCATCAAACATAATCGCTGTCTACTTGTGTTGTTGTACGCATTGTTGCTCACTATTTTACTATGTAAAATGGCTGTTATCATCGTTTCTATATTTTACTGGCCAAAAGTAATGCATATTTTTGAAATTATTTATCGTTTCTAGGTTAGAGAACAAATAAGTGAAGTTCTTCATGAAGATCTGAGGATGTATAATAAAGTTGCTGAAGTTCGACAGATTGTCGATTTAATCCAGTCAAACGTAAACTGAAGTTTTTTAAATTCATCCTGTATTTTAGTTTGAGTGTTGCGGAGTGGAAAATCAGTCAGATTGGAAATTTTACAATGATAGCAGTTATCCTCAAAGTTGTTGTAAAAATCGTCAGTTAGAAGAATCGTTTAGCAATAAAGAGTGCATCTACCATCAGTATGGCTGCCTCAGTTTCTTGGAACGTGAAGTTAAAAGATATTTGGGTTATGTCATTGGATCTGCATGTACCTTTTTCTTGTTGCAGGTTAGTTCATCTTCTAAACTCCTTTTAAAGTTTATTCGGATTTGACTATCATTGGTTTTTAATATAGCATAAAAGAGTTTATTGCTCGACATGTCAGTTATTTGACATCACTGTCATCTTGTCCTTTCGAATGCACACTGCCAGATCCTACGTTACTTATGACTAAGTCAAAACTAATGGGGATGTATAGATTAATTTTCTAAAGAGTACATACTACTATGAATAAAATTCTTAAGCTGAGTGTTGTAAGATACTTATCTCTCAGAATCTTACATCCTGTTTAGATCTATAATGCTTCGTATTTTGATTTATTCTAGATTTATTTATCTTATATCAATAGATACCTTAAAACTTTCAAAGGTGATAACAAGGGCTGGTACACAATATAAGAAAATTTTCATAGGCTCAGCTTGTTTCGCTTTCAAAATACTCAGGCGATTAAATGAACCCAAGCTCACATTCTTTAGTTTTTTATTTGACCATTAGAATGTTTATGTTAAAGTCCTTTTGTTAGGACTTCACTCAATTTCATCATTGCATAAACTGTTTGTCCCCTTTATCAAATCAATATAAGAGAAATTACATGATATCACTTATCCTTTTAGAGCTGTGGCTTAGTGGTTTAAGGCGTTTAGTTTTCTGCCCAAAAGTTTGGTTCGCGCCCTGTCTAACCCCACTGCTTGAATGGAACAATGGATAAAGGTGGTTGTATGCCCTTATTCTACCTGAGGTGTTTGTATATAGGGCTTTTAGGATGTTAATGAACTTCTCAGGCACACCCTTCTTTAATCGACAATCCCAGAGAACAGTCCTGTCCGACGAATCGAAGGCAGCCCTTGATGCCAAGAAACACTACGACTGTTGGCCTGTGATAAGTGTGACGGTGTTCTAACATTTGGCGGAGGGTGAATATATGATCAATACATCCTCGACCAGATTTATTTATTTTATTTTAACACAGATATTGGTACAAGGAGACACCAAATACATATTTGCCACACAAATCTCATTTGATTTGTGCAAGGGCTGTGATACTGCCCGGGTGCCCGAACCGAAGCAGGTGGTTTTCTTAGGGGGCCACACCCCGAGCCTTGGGCCTGAAGGTCTGATCCACAAGGCAGTGGAGCATCGTAAGGAGATGCAATCTCATGGTAGCCGGTGACCAACGATTGGTTCATACGTCATTTGTTCCCTCAGGATACTGAAGCCCATGTGCACCATTGGATTGAAATCAGGTTTTCCAACTCTCCTAGGTAGACCCTCCATGTCTACCAACCCGGTTAAAACACCGGACGTTCGCTTTTCGTCCTCTCAATTTCGTAAACAACACCCGTGGTACGAGAAGGCAGTGAGCTAGACGCAGAGTACTTGATAGGGGTAGAAAATTAGGTGGTCAAATTGTGAGTCTTCATCTTACTGAGATGGGTGGCATACACATGTTACGTATACTTGGTTACTATGTATCTTGATATGCAATGTTGGCTTGCATAACAGTAGAATGAAAGAAAGCTTTGGAGAGCCAGACTGAAGCGTGAAATCAGTCTAATATCGTAAGTGATATGTAGAAAAAATATGTGAATGAATAGATCACATACAATTAAATGTCGTTGATAATCTAGTTAAGTCGAATTCTGGTTATCAGGTCAGGTTTTCAATCTCAGTGCCAAAACAGTCAGATATCGTACAAATATTTCTCGGTTATAGTTTTCGCCGTTAGCGTTCGTTTTGTGAACATCAAAAAGCAAAAGAAATCTGGAAGAACAGCTAGAAGTGAGAGCAAAAATGAAAAACATAGAATAGTATAATGTTCCAAATTTGTAGAAAGATCATAAATAAAGTTATTTATTTTTGTTTATAAGCCTCAACACTCAAAATCTGTCAGTAGCTAAAATTTTCTTTTGGATATTAACTAAGAAGCTTATGAAGCCCAAAGTTCAAGTAATTGACTTCATCAATTAACGTATGATCTCGGTCTTCTGGAGCAAATGTTTGAAGCTAGTTGGTTAGATTTCTCTATCTAGAGAATTGCTTGGTATATCTAGAATATAAATTATTGCAGTTAGCTTTCTTTCATTTTCTGTTATTGTCTATGTAAAAGAATAACTTTACCTTAGTAACAGGCTTCAATTTATTTATATTTGCAGACTAATGGTAGAACTTATATTTGGACTAATCTTTGGTCGGTGCTTGACAGGATTTCTGTAAGCCTAGCACCCCTGAAAATCCAGCTGTGAAGTTTTTAAGATTCCGGTCACTGCTAGTTTTTAAAAGTCTGAGCAAAATTGAAGGTCTTACTAGTCTTACGAAGTACTACTGCCTAAAGAATTAACGCTGACACCTTAGAAATATATGATTCTCAGTTTCAGTGTGAACACTATGCTATTTCTAGAAGGGGGTGGTTGCGGGAAAGAATTTGTTTTGGGTATTACAATATCACGATAGCTACTGACTTAATAAGTCCTGGGTATTGGTATTCAGTAAATAATTGTTAAAATGTCAGTTTTGGAATATTTGTTATTTAATTATTCCTACTTTGTGTTTTTTTACTAGCTTATCGGTTTGCACAGCATGTGCGTTGTGATTTGTCGGTCTCAGTCAATTCATCGTTGGCATAATGAGGGTTATATTAGTATATAATCTGTCGTGATTAAGTTTATGGTTAATTTCGGGTACCGAAGTGTTTTGTATTTCTACAAAGGAGATATATTGGACTCGTAGTGCTCCATACCTAAGCTAAATACCCTGCTTCTTTGCACATAGGTCATTCGTTGATTCCATTGACAGAGACCATTCAGGAGGACTATCGTACGCTTATTCATTTTATTGTTTATAATTCTCGATCTATTTCATTATCAAATACATTAAATTATTAAATAAACTAAAAATTTTACTATGATATGACGGGGGTATAATTTCACTACCTTTTGCCTTAGCAACTTTGGTGCACAATTAATAAAGTTAGAAAAAGTAGGAATTCTTTTATTACAGACAGATAACGGTGTTCGTTCGTCTGATGATTTTAATTCTGATATAAAGTTGACAGTAAGGGGTTTTAGCAGAGGCTAGCAAACGGTAAGGAAAGGCATATGTTATGGTAGCTTTTATATGACTGGACTCTTGAGTACTCATTCCGGCTAGCTCCAAACCCAATGTTTGGCACCGCCATACTTATCACAGGCCAACAGTCGTAGTGTTTCTTGGCATCAAGGGCTGCCTTCGATTCGTCGGACAGGACTGTTCTCTGGGATTGTCGATTAAAGAAGGGTGTGCCTGAGAAGTTCATTAACATCCTAAAAGCCCTATATACAAACACCTCAGGTAGAGTGAGGGCATACAACCACCTTTCTCCATTGTTCCATTCAAGCAGTGGGGTTAGGCAGGGTTGCAGAATCTCACCATTCCTCTTCAACTTTGCCATCGATGACATTCTGGAAACAGCTCTGATGAATGTAAGTAATGGCGGTGTGGATCTGTTGCCTGGAGAAAGACTTCTCGACCTTGAGTATGCGGATGATATTGTCTTACTGTGTGATAATGCCCAAGGCATGCAATCCGCACTTAATCAGTTGGCAATCAGTGTCCGTAAGTATGGTATGTGCTTTGCACCTTCGAAGTGCAAAGTACTTCTACAAGACTGGCAGGATTCTAATCCTGCACTCACCCTGGATGGTGAGCAGAGAGAAGTAGTCGAGAAGTTCGTGTATCTAGGTAGCTGGATAAGTGCTGGTGGGGGTGTGAGTGATGAGATTAGTGCACGAATGGTGAAAGCCAGAGCGGCTTATGCCAATCTGAACGGTCTTTGGAGTCTTCACAAAGTTGGTCTGGCTGTAAAAGGTCGGATCTACAACGCGTCGGTGAGAGCAGTTTTGTTCTATGCTTGTGAAACCTGGCCTCTCCGAGTTGAGGACGTTAGATGACTGTCTGTGTTCGATCATCGTTGTCTCCGAAGGATTGCTGACATTCAGTGGCAACACCATGTTAGTAATGCAGAGGCTCGGCATCGTGTGTTCGGGCACAGAGATGATAATTCAATTGGTGTTACCATCTTGAAACACCGAATTCGGTGGCTTGGACATGTTCTCCGAATGTCATCCCAGAGAACTCCACGTCGTGCATTATTTGCCGACTCTGGGACTGGTTGGAAGAAGTGGAGAGGTGGTCAGTGCATGACATGGTGTCGTGGCATGAAAGAAAGCTGCAAAGGACTGGCTTGTGTTGGTCCTTCACGACTCCCTGGTTGGGGTCCTAGAGATGGTGCGACACAGTGGCTAGAGACGTTATCAGATATGGTTCAGAATAGAAGCCAGTGGCGATCCTGCTGCAACCTTTTACTTTCTTCATAAAAAGTGGTTATGTCTCCCTTAACTGAAAGATTTCTCCTGACTACCTTTCCGTTCCCTCATTACTATTATTATTATTACCACACTACCTTGCACCAATCTCTTCATTATTGTTCTCTTTTTTTACGCTCCTTACCTTTTTTTTCTCTTCGAAATCTCATCGTTTTGTGTGGCGCATATATGTTGGCGCTCTCTTGTACCAATATTTATGTGTTCAAATAAATAAATGTTTGGCAATAAGAGCATGATAGACTGATACGACAATGACACGTAGCAGTAGATAGCTGTCTAGTCTTACCAAGTGAACTAAAGTCAAAAAGCACAAGGTTAGTAAAATTAATACTGAGAAAGACGGATAGGAAAATTATTAACAGTTCATGTACCTTAGTGCTACCATTCACCTGATTGAAATCCATGAGCAATCCTTAGTGTCCTGGTATGGCTGAGGGCAAGAACAGTTCACTCTCCCTCTCGAAATGCTCTCATATGATCAAGTGTAAACAACCACTGTCAGGGAAGTCCTACTCAGTGCCTCATGGAGGCGGGGGTGTTTTTTACAAAATTGAAAGGACGAAAAGCTGATATCCGGCGCTTTAGCCGGGTCGGTAGGTACGGAGCATTTGCTTAGGGGAGTTGGAAAACTTATTCCAAACCAGTGGT